TGTACCCTTTTAGAAAAATTGCAGGGGAAGCAATGTTGATTGTTTGGGGTTTTTAATTCAGATTTAAATCTGATGGATACAATCATAATGTAACAGCATGGATTTTCTCTGCAAGGATAAAATTTCCTCCTGTGGAAATTTCCATCCAAAATTCAACTTGATGAGACCTGAGCAACACCAACAAACTGGAAAGTTAATCCTGCTTTAATTGAAGAGGATTGGGCCAAATGAGCTCCAATTTCCTTCCAGTCTAAATCATGCTGTGATTCTAAGGCTTTCTCTAAGATCTTCTCTAGGATTACTTCCTTCTAAAGGCATCCAAACTTTGATGAAGTCAAGACCCAAGACACATCTATTTTAGGTTTCTCGGCTAGACACCAGTCTGTCTCTTCAGCTTTCAGCATTGTTACTGGATTTCTAAATATATTATGCTCAACATTGCAGCTCCATTTTTTGAAATAGCAGCAAAGGCACAAAGCTGGATGGAATGGTTAAACAGAAGAGAGGCTGGATATTATAGATGGAAAAAAGAATTAACGTGAGAATGGTAAAATAGGAGTGGAACATGATGTTAAATAGAAAGTTGCACAGCTGATGGCCAGTAATAGGAATTTCTGTTTCTTAGATGAAAATTTTTGAGAAGACCACTAGAGTATTTATTAATTGTAGAAAACTATGAAACACCTGGATGCTTTTCTGAAAAGGTTATTTGTAATCCTAGAACATATTAGACCAGGCTAGAGATAAGGAATAGTTAATATTTCAAGATGTGGCATTGAGATTACAGTTGAACTACTCTATACCTCTTTAGCCATATGCATTGATAAAATATGGATCCACTGTGGCCAAAGGCTTCAAGGGTGTGCTGTAGAATCAAGAAAGGTTATTTTTCAAGAAATTATTAAGCATGATTAATTTGTTGACCTAGAAAAATGTGTTGAAAAAAACGTGCTGCCTTCATTTATGGTCAAGGTTGAGTTCTAAGTATCAGATGGAGAGCAAAAATTTTAAGGCTAGAGGACCCTGTCGTTTCAAAACCAGAATATAATTTGGTCATGACTGGGAATTAAAAGAAGGTTCCTATGCATCAGAAGACGAATCTTTTGCAGTAGCCTTAGAAATGGATGGAGTGGAAGGGAAGGCAACTCTTTACTCTTCTCAAGACAGAACCTGGTCTTTTCACAAAAGATCATTTTGAGTTCACAGGCTGGATTTGTGGTCTGGATTCCTCCCGCATTCTTATTTTAAAATTTCACTAACACTTGCAGCTGAACTGTTCTGACATACAGTTTTGAAGTAACTACCATTTTGTTGGTGATGGTGCCCCTTGCCCTAGGAAGTTAAAGGGAACTGTCTGGTCGAGAGTCAGAAGCGCCATGAGCAGTGCAAGGTATAACCAATAACAGTACTGAGTGCAGAAAGATTCTCCAAAGGCCAGCGTAATTAAGTAGGCTGTAATTGTTCACAGCAAGTAAAAGAATAGGTGTGGTGAAAGTTGTGGCAGGGAAGGGGGCATGAACTACCAGGAATGACACATTCTGGTGTAACATCTAGGCAAAGAGTAGATGTAGCTCACCTGCTTTAAGAATGACTTATCTTTTGAGTACGATTAGGTACAATCAGGCAGAATGCACAAGGGGGGTACAATCAAATAAAATATTTCTCATTAACCAGTTCCTTGAACTAGGGCTGTAAGTATGTAAAGGGTTGCTCCAAAGTACACATAGCCCCAATATACTTTGACATTTGGTGTGCCTGTGCTGTCAACAGCACTAAACTATAAACCTAAACACTCTTCTAAGCATGAGTGTTTCTTGAATATCCAGTTTGTTCTATACATCCAAGGCATAATATTTTCTCCTCCTGCAAGTCCTTGGCTGGCTCAAGCAGGTCTGAGCTCAGTGGACTTCAGCCATAGACTATGAAAATAAAACTTCATACCAAAAGGCTTTGGAACCAGAAACATTTCTGAAGTTGGGACACCCTACTTTTAAATGTCAGGAAAGTATGAACCATTATAATCTAGACAAGCTCAGGAATAAAAAAGATGTTTTACAAAAATGTACAAAAAGAACACACTTGCAGGTTTTCTTCCTAATTAAATTTTGACCATAGATAAACATGGATAAACATGAATTTTGGGACCTTAAACAGAGGGCAGAATGGGAGGAGACGAGATTAAAATGTTTAATTTAGTTTGTGTTGGAAGTTAATGATTCTTCTACGAAGTACCAGCACAGCTTTGCTTAAGGAGAGAATACTCTGACTTTTGAGCATTTATGTGGTAGTTTAACTGCTGTCGTTGTGGACACAGAACCTAGGTAGGAACCTCTTTAATATTCTTTTTGTTTTTCTTAACCATAAAATGTTGCCATTGTTTGCAGCTAATGAACATTACCTGTGTCCTACTAATTGCATTTCCTGTAACCAGTAACACCAGTAATGTTCCTGTTGAAAGTGTCAATGCTTTAATGATGGCATCACACATTTTCATGTGTGTCTCTGAACAGTAATTATGTCTTGAACAATGAGAGCAGCATTGGGATCTGCACAGGGCTGTGATAATCATTTTTCATATTAGGTTAACTTAAAAGGTCTTACTATAATTCTACCTAAAAATCAATGGGATTTTTGTCAGTAAGACAATTGTATTAGCACTACAGTTAGTGTAAATCATTACATTTCCGTAAATTGTTGGAGGAAATGTGGATCTTGATTTGTGACTTTTTTATTCTACTGGATGGTGGCATGGTCCCTGAGGGTACAACCTGAGGGTGGAGACAAGCAGCCCAAGGACTTTGCTGGATTCTTAATATTCCTCAAAATCACTATACTTTTCTTTTGTAATAATCTACAAAACCTGTAGCGAACTGTTGTCTTGACCTTTGTGAACTAAATACCTGTTATTCATGCTAAGGTTTTTTAATTGCTGCTCTTATTAACTATAATTTGCATATAATTTGAGAGTATAAAATAAAGTTTGATTTTTTTTTAATATATTCATGAGGGAGTAGATTTACCTAACAAACTCAGAGTTAGGCAATGGCCACTATAAGGTCATATTGAAGCACTGAAGATGTCTGCAGCTGTCCTTTGCAAGGCTGGCTGCATTCACTCTGAAATTGCATTGCAAGGTGCTTCATGATTTCCCATGATTTTGTGAAAGTTGTCAGCTCCCACCAATACAAATTATCCATGATGATTATTAGTTAAGACCCTTGATCTTCCCCACCCAAAGTCTTTCTCAGAAGAGACTTTACTGAGCATAAAATCAAACCAATTTGTCAAATGTTCCCTGAGTATGTTGCAAAAATGAACAGGAGGTGTGTTAAATTTTATTCTCAAAGTATGGCTTAGGGCATTTTGGTGGGTTTTTTTTTTCTATATGCTTGTTTTTGGAGAGAGGATTGTTTTCTTCTCCCAGGAAGAAAGTCAGGCTAATTTTTGTTCAGGTTGACTGACTACCTAAAGAATAGGTTATTTGCAAACTGACTCACCTAAAGATATAGAGAATAATATTTTTGAATCATAAACCAGATGATCTTTTGCTAGCTGAAATCAAGCTCAGCAGCTGTATGTGGACATCAGTTGTGAATCTATCTTTTATCTTTTTTTCTAACTTTCCTGTGACCTGGAATTTCCCCGGCCCTGATCTCTTCCATCTCCAGCAGATAGCTGTGTTGGTCAGGGTCAACTGAGGATGGGAGGAGATGCTGCCAGCAGCTCCAACTGTTGATCACTGCACGTAACCTGCTCTAATATTTCTCCAGCACAGTTGCATCATCTTTTTGCTTCGTTCCCCTCTGTCCTAGCCCTCACAAGCAAAAGTATCACCACATCCGACAGCATCTTTGCAAAGCATTCATAAGACGTGTCATTCACTACTGACACGAGCTGGTCACCTGTGTCTTGTCTCAGAGGCCTTCCCCTGGATTGCTGGAGGAGCTAAGCACTGACAGTGCTGAGATAACTACTTTCCACTTCCTAGCTGGCTTCACACTTTCCTGTGTACATCAAGAAGCTTTTGCCCCATGAAGACGCATTTTATTTTACTTTCTTCTCTTTTTTTTTATTTCTTATCTTGCCCAGTACCCTAACCTCTCTCTCTGGATGCCCTTTTCACTATTTGCATCTAACTGCTCAACCTGCTCTTTAATATTTATGCTCACACTTTTCAGTCTTACTGTCCTCCCTTCCTGTTCCTTCTCAACCTTTCTCAGAAACGTTTTTTATGGGATAGGCTCCTCATATCTAAACTTCTTCAGTTAAATGGATAACTGACTGTCTTTCTCTTCTATCTACTTTTCCTCTAATTTCTATCTTCACTCCTTCTCTCCTTATGCTGAGATGCTAAGTCAAGTTATACCTTCAAACTCTCAAAAAAGCCACTTTAGTCCTGTGACCTGCAATGATAGGCTCCTTCAGCATCTTATGGTGGTTGTCAATGTATCATAGTAACAAGGAGAAGATAATGTCTTCAGATGACACAGGGACAGACGAATTTCAGAGGACCAGATGCTCAAAAGTATTTGTGTACTAACATTTCCTGAGCGCTAAGGATCTCATTTCATAGTATTTCTCTTGGTAGCTGTGCAGACTTGGAGAAATCCTTTTTCTACTTCTTTTTCCTATCTGTCTGAATAGCCAAGGGGAAGGAAAAGATATGTTTTTTGTCCTGATACATGTGCTGACCCAGACTTAGAGCATAGCCACAGAAGAGTTTGGGAAGTAGATATTAGCAGTGAGAAAGCAGATGGACCTTTTCCAGCATTGGAAAAGTTCATCCAACTTTTTTTCAGCTCCATTCAAGCACAGAAAACCTCTGTTTATGTGATTTGTTTCCCCTCTCTGTCTTCTTCACCTTTTTCTCAAATGAGAGGAGTATTGTGAAAGGTGAAACAGATCATGTGAGTTATGATTTCTGAGTTCTGATTTGGGGATATTAGTTTCAACACTCTAACAGAAAATGCAATATTCCCACCTGCAGATCTGAAGATGGCTTCTTTCAAGTGAGCTGTTATTTTCCAAGGGGCTCTGCAGTGGCACCTGGATCATCCTTTGGAAATCTATTCTGTTTGTAGTTGGAGTTGCACAAACGGGCAAGTGTTTTCATTCTTTAAACAAACTTTGCAAACAGATATATAGACTTACAGCTTTTCCCTGAAGTGTTATTTTTAATTGGGTTTTTAAAAGATAAAAAGACCAAAAAAAATTTAAAAATGAAGTATTGAACTATTCACTGTAATAAAACAAATTTCAACTTAATAACAAAAGGCTTTCAACAATAAAAAAAATGTCAAGGGGTATATCATTGCCTATGGCTACAGGATGTGCTGTTCCTGGGGGAAGTGGAGCAGTTCTGCTGAACTGTTGAGCTGCAGACAACTATATTCATCAGGGCATACAGACAGCACTCTGCAAACAGAAGTATATTTTTGCAAGAAGAAAAAACTGACTTACTCATAGGAGGTCAATTAGCTAAATTAACGAATTCTTTTGTCACTAGGAGTTGTTTCCAACAGGTCAGTGTAGAGAAATCAGTTGTATGTTGCTACAGAGGTCTTATTAAATTGATGGAGTCCTAAGCCATGTGGACTACAAGTTTAGAGCTTCCCTAGGACTCCTTCTTCAACACTGACACTTTGGTGACCCTTGTAGTTTATTTTTGGACAGAGACTGTCTCTTACTCTTTTATGGAAATTGTCTTTTTAGCATTAAAAGACTGGAGGGGGTGGGGTAGTGGTTTCCATTTCTCTTGAAAAGAGGTCAAAATAAGATATTTCAGAATTTAAAGAAATATACACTTTGAAACACTCAAGTCAGAAAGCCAAATAGTTTTCAATGGAAAGGTTCAGTTTCAACATCTCAGCATTTTCCTGTAACTGCTGCTTCATCAGAAAAGTCCTTAAGCAACTCTATTTTGGCATATGAGCTTTTGTATTTATTTGCATTTTCTCCCAGGTTCGGATCACTCAGTAAAGAAATCAACCATGACAGTGGAAACCAAATCCAGCAATGTCAGTGGCTCAAATCAGGAAGCAGAACCCAAACAGCCTTTAGATGATGAAGAAAACAAAATTCCACCAGTCAAAAAGAAGACTTCCTGTTGCACTGGATTGAAGGTGTGATGCCCTATCAATATTACCATGAATTACCATTGCTGTATGTTAAGAAATGTTATTCAAGGTGTGACATGCCAAATTCCTCCATTCCTCTTCCCCCTATCTTTTCTGGAGCTGGATATATACTAGAGGTACAGGGGATAGTCAGATCTTATCTTTGTCCTAAAGAAAATAAAAATTCCTGATCTGCCATATTTACTTACAAGTTACTCGTAGGTGGTTCCTCTTCTTGGTCGTTAGAGAGAGGCAGCAAACTCCAGTGGGAGACTTGAGCCAGTCTGAAATAGGTGCCTACAATACACTTGCCTGGAGGTTTCTGTCACCACTCATTCTTGTAGGGCCAAAATAGTGTGAGGTGAATCGTATTCCAGGACTTTTATCTAATCCAGCGCTGTAGGTCAAACAGTCCAGTGATTCCCACAAGCACACAGGCTTCCAGGAGTGCACGAGAAGAATGGACTGATCAAAGCAAGTAAACTAATGAGAAATTCTGTACCACTTTAAGGCCTTAGTATTTATTGCTTCTGGCTGAGCTGCAAAGCAAGCTCAAGGGCAAGTTTTCTTCTGACACTGATGTGTTTGGGTTTATGTTTTGACTAAATCTTGAGCCAGCTTCATCTCAAGCTAAATTCCATAGACTCGGTAGAGTTGCAATTAAGGTCACATTCCTCTCTATAGAAAGGTCTGTAAAATGAAAGAAAAAAATATGTAATTGCAAGTTTCTCAAACATCCAAAATAGTTCATCTTAAGCATCAGGCAAAGGTTGTTTTCTTCTTATTTTATCTGACTCATGTTTGCCACCGATATACCCCTGCAGAAATAGAATTTGACCTCTCTAGGAGACTCACAGGACTAATTTTACATCACATATGTGGGCAATAAGTCTAACTCTACGGCAGTTAGAGCTTAATACACACTACAATGTGGAAGGAATAAAAGACAAGCTGCTATTATACCTCATTATCTTATAAAATGTTTTATGGCTGACCTGGGGATTGCATTTTCAAACACAAAATATTCAGGTCATTTTTGTTTGTGTTTTTTTGCTTATCAGCAGCTTGTGATTCCAGCCAAAGCCCCCTGAGAGTGCTGCTGGCATAAGGCACAAAAGGTGGTTCTCAGAATTTTGCCAGTCAAGCTCAGGAAATATAAAACATGCCAGGACAAAGCCCACATTTGGGAAATTTTTCTCTTCATTCCTGATGAAAAGAGAGTAAATATGTCTATTTTCAAGCTTTTGCTTCCTGGATTGCCCTAGTTTTTTACGGTAGATAATATTGCAAAGTCTAAATCCATATTTACTTTGTTTACTTACACAAGTTTCTGTTGTATTGGAACTTTTGCCCAGTGAGCAATAAGTCAGTTTGTTTTTTAGCCTATGTGGAAATAGCTGGATAATATTTAAACAAACTTAGTTTAACTTTTTAGCAAATAAATCTTTATTTGCCAAAGCCACAATGTGTGTTGGTTGAAGCAACTATAAAATTACAAAGAGTATTAAGCTTTTCCTTATGAGGTATATGGTATACAGGCAACATTTCAAAATATGTCATCTGAGACAGAGATGAACTCAGTCCGTACGTGTCGCCTTCCACATATGGGAATATCATAAAAACTTGCATAAAGCCTTTATTTTGATGCCATGGCTATCTATATGATTAAGTTAGAAGCAGTTATGAACTGGCCTAAAATAAATTACATACAGCCCAAATAACTTTGATTTGCACTAGTGTCAGTAAATCTATCCTGATTAGGTATTTTACCTCTGGTAAATTTTATGTTTCTGCAACAGCTTTGGCACCATTTTGGCTGCCCAGCTTTGGTACTCAGCTTTGTGATAAGTTTAACCACAGATGCCAGTAAGGTGAGTGGTGCCCAGCAAGTTCTTTGTCAAATTTAAGGTCCTCAGTTCCACTTTAGAAGTCTCTGGACAGCGAAGCTGGGAAGATCAGGTTTTCTGGCAATTAAAATGGCTATTGCAAACCTGAACCCTAAAGTAAGCAACTGCTCTCAGTGCAGCACCTAGCACCCCTTCTGCATCAGAGAAAACCAGAGCAGAGAGCAAAATGTACTGAGATACCACCCTGGCACCCTGCAGCATTAGAGTATTTGAAAATTCACCCACAACGTTGCCACTCCAATTTGAGTAACAAACTTATGTTATGGTGGTGATTGTCCCACATAGTTTTAAACACATTTGGTCCCTCTGTGACTGCTTTCCCTGCCTCTACCTCCCATTTTCTGTCTTAATCTTTCCTCAGGCATTTCTGGCTGCTCTGTCATTCAGCTACTTCAGTAAAGCGTTGTCTGGTGTGATTATGAAAAGCTCCATCACTCAGATTGAGCGAAGGTTTGACCTGACATCATCCACTGCAGGTTTCGTCGATGGAAGCTTTGAGATAGGTAATTGATTTCCGTAACATGCAGAAAACTGCTCAGAGGAGTATGAGACACAGCATCTGGCACTAAATTTGGTTCATTGCCTCCCAGGTAACCTGCTGGTGATTGCATTTGTAAGCTACTTTGGAGCCAAACTTCATAGACCCAAAGTAATAGCTGTGGGATGCATTACTATGGCTTTGGGATGCTTTTTATCGGCAATGCCTCATTTCTTCATGGGATAGTAAGTACTAATCAAGGTTAATTTGAGTGACCTATGATTGGAATTGCATCCTGCTTTCTGGTTTTTAAATGAAACTTGGTGTATATTAATTCTTAGATATCCAAGGGCCTAAAGAACCTCACCTCAGTGTGCAATGAACCACGCTTGACACACACATCCCTACTGTGATGATGAATGTTCATTACATCTGGTTGTAAAAATATGGCTCCTCTGAAACACAACTTCAACTTCTCAAAAACTGGGAAAATCACAGTGCTTTAGTTGTCACTCATATGTGTTCAGAAAAGAAGTAAAGAAGGAAATGATGCTAGAAAATTTTTTCTCAGGGGGAAGCAACTATAAAAATCTTATGAAAATTCAAGTTTCAAACAAAATACATTATTCTTTGAAAATCTTCAAGCTGGCTACTATGCTGGTGTTATTGCTTTAATGAATTTTGGCAAACAGTAAGAACACCTTATCAGGAAAATCAGAAAGCCCAAGAATGTGGCATCATTGGTTGCTAACAGAGATGTTACAATTAACGTAGCCAGGAAAATCAAACCATTATGAAGCACAGTAAATGTATGAGAAATACAGAATGCACATATGTGATTTCCAGATAAGTTTGTGCTGTTTGGAATAGGATCTCCAAGCTCTGAGCAGGTAACTTCATACTGAGGGACATCTCAACCTGCAGTATGACTTTACTTACAGTAACAGGCAACTCATGTAAAATCAGGGATTCAGAGCTTACTCAGTGAACAAACCAACACACAGAGGTCCTCATTGAAAGAAATCCTCCTCCTTCAAAGAACAAACCAGAGCCTTATTGTGAAAGACGGTGCATTTTGTGGCAAACAGCTGCTCCTCACACGAACAGCCTCTCAGCTTCACACAAAACCTGCAGATGGACCAGTGCTTGTAGAACAAGTACCAGGGTTTTTCCTGTTCCAAATGCACATGGCTGGTTAAACTGATTTTCCATATCTGGTTAAGCTAATTTTTGTTCATATTTTCCATGTTCCAGGCGTGTTACTTATATGTGATAGTGCTTCTAGCCATAGCTTGGGCACAGAGTAAGGCATATTTCTCCTAAAAGTATTAGAATAGTTTTAGACATACTACTGTAAAGAGAAAACCCATTAATGCTTTTTTTTCATGTTAGTGGATCTTGCACTAGCATCAGACTTCTCATAAGTTTTCCATTGCTTAAGACAAACCATGTATCACACTCACGTACACTGGGCAACTCACTTGTAAGGAAACTATTCTGCACTGTCTCTCCTGATGACTGCTCTTTGTTTCAACCTGAAAAATAAACCTACCTGGTCTAGCAGAGTCGGCCCAGTTCCTAGAAGCAGAATGTGTGCTTTACCATGTTGTTCTCCTAAAGCTAATTGTACTTTGTACCTCAGCAGTGCTCGTATCTGGGAAAGGGATCATGTTAAAGCAGCTGAACAGATCAAAATACATATCAAAGATGCAAAGAGGGACCTACACTCACACTCAAAAGATTCTTCTCTTTCTCCTTGAATCAGCATAGGGAGCTCACTTGGACCTGACCCTAAATTTTGACACCAAAAATTAAATATTGAGTTACTTTCACAAGCCCTTTCAAATTTTCCAGCTTAAAATATTATTTCTTTCAGACAGAATTTTATTTGTTTTTTCATTTTAGTGTTTCAGTTTTCCAAACTGTGCTTAAATAATCTTTTTATTTGCTCCTTGAGAAGCACTGTTAATTGATATTTAATCAATGGTACCTCTCTCTTCAGGAAAACAGCAGTCAGAGCTTCCTGCCCTACTGCACTGGTATTTCCCTACTGAGCTCTGCTTCTAAACCTACTGTTGTGTGTTTTCAGTTATAAGTATGAGGCAGCATCACATAGAGCTTCTTCAGCCAACTCAACTAGCATAAATCCCTGTTCCCTACATCAAGATGTGAATGACACCGCGTTGGAAGCCTCACGTTCAGGTAAGGAACTGTAAGTGTAAGTACAAACACAGGAGCTAGTTTTGTCCTTGGTTGCAAGTGGAATAGGTTGTTTCCCCGTGTAAGATGCTCAGATTCCTTCTCTGTTAAGAAGAACTTCTCTCTACCTGTCTCTACCTGTCTGGCAACATCGCCAACATCTAAATGCACTAGGTGCATCTCATTTGGAGAAGAAGTATCCAGCAAACACAAATTATAAGGATACGGATCCCCAGTTTTCCATGTTCACGCTTCCAAATTACAATAAATCACCTAACACTAAAAGGGAAGCTGAGACTCTGTTTGAATGGGTTCAGTTACACAGGACCAGGAGCTGAAGAGGTGGAAAAGATAGTGTGACAGGACATGAAACTACAATGAGTTTACTGGAAATAAATGCAGATTCTTGTTATCTTCCTTACAATATGGAATACAGTTGTTTTATTTGTTGCTTTGCACAGGACACAGGTAGAGAGAGAACCAAGCTGTGACCCAGAAATTATCTCAGACTTCTCACATTAAAGATATGTTTTATATACCAGGGAATATATTTATGACAATATAAATGTGCCATTTTTTAAAATGAGTGTTTTTTTCTGATGGGTGATGCTTATTTTTAGAAACCAAATACAATGGAGATGGAGGAAAGTGCTGTTAAAACTTTATTAAAAGTTCTGATAAGATTGACAGCCTTTCAATTATCTTCCATGAGGAAAATGCTGTTAATACCTTAAATAATAATTCATGTGCTGAATTTCCTGTGATTTGTCACTGTTTCCCATTCAACTATTTTATTACAAAGGTGCAAACTCTCATCTGCAGGCTGTGAGAAGGAACCATCATCATATATGTGGATATATATCTTACTGGGAAACATGTTACGTGGAATTGGTGAGACACCAGTAACACCATTGGGCATCTCTTATCTTGATGATTTTGCTAAAGAAGAGAATGTTCCTGTGTATGTAGGTAATCTCAACACGAAGTAAACTGAGAAATTCACAGTGTAATATCGCCTATGCAGAGGAAAAAGTTCAGCCACTAAATGAAGCATCTGCTTCTTTGTATTTTCAGCCTGTTTGCACACAATAGCCATGTTTGGCCCGATGTTTGGTTTCCTGTTGGGATCTTTGTGTGCAAAACTGTATGTGGATATTGGATTTGTTGATCCAGGTAAGCAAAACAAAGGAAAAGTGAAAGTAGGCTAATACTTGCTCATAACGTGTTCCTCTAAGCAGTTGCCTAAGTTTATATTATATTAATTATATTTCTATAATTTATATTTACTTTATATTTGTTTCATGAATTTTATTATATACTTTATTACAATGCTCCAGGCTTGTCTGCCACCCCTTTTGGTGTCCCCGTGTGTTGAGCAAGGGCCTCGGTGTTGCCATATCTGCCACAAAACAACAGTCAGTGTAAGGTGATGGAAGGCAGATGAAACAACACCATAGTGACAGGACAAGGGGGAATGGATTCAAACTGACAGGGTGTAGGTTTAGATCAGATGTTAGGAAGAAATTCTCCACTGTGAGGGTGGTGAGGCACTGGAACATGTGACCCAGAGAAATTGCGGATACCTCTTCCCTGGAAGTGTTCAAGGCCAGGTTGGATGGAGCTCTGAGCAACCTGATCTAATGAAAGGTGTCCCTTCCACCTGGAGGGCTGGAACTAGGTGATCTTTAAGGTCCTTCCCAACCCAAACCACTCTATGGTTTTATGGTTCTATAACACCATTCAGGGTATGATTCCTGATGCCTTCACTGCATGGATGGTCCCTCATTAGATGATTATTGTTACCACTGGAAGTCAGACATTAAAATGTAGCTGTTGTAGCAGACAAAGGCTGGGAAGGTTCAGCTTCTTCATTTGGGTAACTTGTGCCTGTTTCCCTCAATTCTAGGAAGCATCACTATCACCCCCCAGGACTCCCGCTGGGTGGGTGCGTGGTGGCTTGGCTTTTTAATAGCTGGAACAACCAATCTCCTGTCTGCTATTCCATTTTGCTTCCTGCCAAAGAGTCTGAAAAAGCCAGAGGAAGCCAATAATGAAAAAACTTCATGGGGTCTCTTTGAAAACAAGGGTGCCAAAAGGAAGAAACTGAATCCTGAAAACCCCAAGAGAAGGAAGTGGTCAGTAATGCTGAAAGGCAAGTGTTTCCCATGTTGTATAAATGTGAAAAGCATTAGGTACAACATACAGGGAAAATGTAGTAGTTCTGCAAAGCATTTTGCCTCCCCTGCACTTCTGTCTAAACCAGTCAGGTATTCCCAGAAAAGGAGAGGTCCTCTAAAAATTATTAGAAGTGAAAGATCTTGCTCAAGACTCTGAGGTTCTGCCTGTATCACCTGCAATAAATCATCACCTGAGTGGCATCTACCTCTAAAATTTTGTGCTAGAAGAAGTTTGAAGTGTTTCTGTACCAGGACCTAAAGAAAATACTAGAAGGCTCCTTTTGCAATATGGAAAAGCAAATTATTCATCTAATACAGCTCCTGGAGACTCTGAAGCACATAGTTGTTACCTGATGAAAATACATCAGGCTTGAATAACAGCCATGGTTGTGCAGTCCTTAGGTCAAGAAAGGGGTGGAAAGGCGATGGAAAGAGGTGGCTTTGCTTCAGTAGTCAAATTCTCCTGCTGTTTAGATCCCAGTAGGAAACACTGGGCATCTCCACAAAGACAGATCTCACTTACATTTGAACCTGTGATAATATTCTTTGTGAATATTGTGAGCTGAATGAAGTCTTTGCTGTGTGGAGCCCTTTAGTCTTCATGTGCAGAATTCAACAGAGCATCCAGGCCTTAACCCACACTTCTGTCTTCTTCTAGGAGTCTCTTCCTGTATGAAGAGAAGAACACCTCTGGTGTTCTTCAAGAACCTGATTTTGCTTTCAGATACTTTCATGCAGATGAAGATCAGTACAACCTGCACTTGGACAGCTGAGAGCAGGATTTTGCCCTAAGATTTGCAGGTTACTCACCAGTAATTATGCCATGCATCTTTCAAAGCCAACTCATATGTCCCTTTTTTTCAGATTTCTGTACCTCCCTGAAAAAAGTATTGAGTAATCGAATGTACTTTACATTTTTGTGTTGCTCACTGTTACAGTTCAGTAGTTTTGTTGGTTTCATAACTTACAAACCAAAGTACATGGAACAGCAGTATGGACAATCTACATCCAAATCTAACTTTCTAATAGGTGAGTTACACCATGTAAGGACTGCTTTGTGATATAAACAGTGCTTTATCTAGGACTGAATTCCTTGCAAAACAGGTTGATGTCAATGGTTTTGTGCCTATGGGACTACAAGAAATTTTTATTTTATATTATATCATATTATATTTACATTATAGCAGGGGCATTCCAAATATGCAATGAGTGTGGTGTGAGAGTCTTAATTGCTGAAGCATCTGACAAATGCCTTGCAATGGAAGTGGGTTTTGAGGGCTAGGCACTTCAAAAACAGCATATGCAACCGGGGAATTGGACTGAACACAAAACCACCTACAGTCATCATAATAGACCATAAAGTTTCCAGGGACATCAACCTGAGGACTGGCTTTGGCTCTTAAACCCATTGTAATTCTTTAATTTTAACATTCCCCTTCTATTATCTCTTTCAGGAGTAACATCCTTACCTCCTGTTGGTATTGGAATTTTCCTAGGGGGGTTTATAATGAAAAAGTACAAAATGGGCATCGTTGCAGCAACCAAGTTTTCATTTACCATGTCATTTTTGTCCTATGCCATCAGTTTTTTGCACTTTTTTGTTGGCTGTGAGAACTATGCGGTGGCAGGAATGACAGTGTCCTATGAAGGGTGAGTATAAAATGAAGAAGAGTGGCTTTTTCTGCATGGCAGCAATAGTTAAAAAAAAAAAATGTACCGTAACATCAAACCTGAAAGAGCAACATGCCTTTACAATGCTTAGGAGAAAGGTAACACTACCACATGTCATTGGGATAGATTTGTTGTTCAGCAGAGCATCACCCTGCCAAAGCCCAACACTGGTCAAAGACTAACGAATTGCATCATTCCCAATGTGGGCTATTTAGTTGTGTGTGGGGTGATATTGCTGTTTCACACAGTGCTATCTCTGTACCAGAAGCAGTTTTCTACCAAAGTCTATTCAGTAAAAAGATGAAGCATATGTAACAGAGGGCATGGATCACATATCCTGCAGAGAGAAGAAAAAACTACAACATACTAGACTCTCAGCCTGCTGTAAAACTAAATAAAGCTTTTATGCCTACTGAAGATCCTCTCTTCTCTCAGGAGAATGTGGATTTAAAAGTTACAGACTTCTATTTTTTCTTGGAGTAAAGACACCAGAATAGGGAATGTGTGCTAGGATCTGCCTGTCCAGGGGGACCCAGAAACACATGAGGATATGGGTTGTACTGCTCATGTCCAGAGTACCTCCTGGCTGCTGTTATCCTGTCTGCATCTCACTGAAGACTTACCTGCAGTTCAATAGTTTGTCACTGCAGTTCGTTTATCAAACCATGCTGGTTCAGAGCTGAAAATGTGGAACTGGACAGGCAAGATGTTTATATTTTTGGGAACTGGAGGCCTACTCATGGCTTGACATGTGGTCTGCAATGTTTTCACTAAAAATGTAACTGGTGGACCAGGGAATATGCTTAGTAAGTACTGAGATGAAAGGAAAGGCACACCCATAAGCTTAATTAACCCAGAAAGAATAAGATGAGGAAAGACATCCCTCTTTTTCACAGACCTCAGCCCCCAAAGGATGTCTGAAATTAAAAGGAAATACAGCATTCTCAGTATTCTCTAGGAAGAGTTAGGCTAGACTTCAGGGGGGAGCATTTTCTAATTATGGAGACCAGGAAATCTAATTTCTATCACTGGTGAATTTTTACCAACAGCTAAAGATATACTTTATAAGACTGTGATAACTGTTCTTAGATTTAATTTCCATTGGAGGAGTCTAGTTGACCTCTCACTCCTTTTTCTTTCCTGCTTACACCTGTCAGTAAAATCAGTAGCAATGTTTTATTTGTTTTAAAATTCTTTATAATTTAGTAATCACTTTAATATCAGTGCAAGTAGGATGGAATCTCAAACAGACCAATACTGTAGAGACTCAGCTGTGAAAACTTATGTCCTGGGCATATGAGCTGGGTTTCAGGACAGCAATATTGCCACATGGAAGGGATTACACTGAAATAAAAATTTCTTACACTTGTCTGAACTTAACTTCCAAGTGCACCCATTCCATTTGACGAAAATGCCGTGTTTTCTGACTGCAACTCTCACTGCAAGTGTGACTCCAATGTGTGGGATCCTGTGTGTGGAGCCAATGGAATCACGTACGTTTCGGCGTGTCTGGCTGGGTGCGAGTCCTCGGTGGGACATGGAAAGAACACGGTAAGACCCTGCATCAGTTTCTGAGGTTTTCTACCAGCTTATTTTCCATGTAACAGGTATTTCATAGTATTTAAGAATTTAAGGAAAACAAACGTTGCTGGGGACCAGTCAGTAAAGTATTTATGATTTCTGGCTACAAACAGCACAGGAGTGAGAGATTTTTCTGCACATTAAGCAGAAAGTCTCTTTGTTGTAGATATTTACTTTCACCTTTTGCAGGTTGACCACAAGAGGCAGAAACAGACAAATCAAGTTGGTTTCATGTTGTCTGAAGCTTGTCCATGGTTTGCTTTTCATAAATCTCATTTTGGCTGCCCTGAGGTTTTAACCAACAGTTGAAGTACACTAAGATAGGGTGGTGTCTTCCCTGATACTGATCAATAATGTTTAAGGATTTAGGGAAGGCAGCTCGTTTCCTTCATGTGAGACTCTGGCATGTCAGGATACTGCTTATTTTTCTGGGTGACTGATTTCTTCTTGGCACAGAGTGCTGGGGATAATGTCCAGAGTCTCAGAGAAGTTCCAGTTCATGGATGTAAACCTTCACTGGATTATGCCATTCCCATGTTTTCAGAAGACACATGGTCTGGAGCTGTATCTTGTACTCAGTTTTCTCTCCAAAAGAATCCCCATTGCATGAGCAGTGTCCTACCAAACCTGCTTTGTGTCTTCCAGGTCTTCAATAACTGCAGATGTCTTGAAATCAGCAGCTCATGGACAGGAAACAACACTGCCACCTTGGGGCAGTGTCCAAAAAGTGAAGCTTGTTCAATGAATTTTATTTATTATACAGTAATACAAGTCATAGGTGGCTTTTGTTACGCATTGGGAGGCACTCCAGCATACATGCTTGTGTTTAGGTAAGTACAACTAACTGTGTACCAAAGGTGCAGGCTTTCCAACGAGGCTTTCAAAATCATGTTTATGTTCCTTTCCCTTAGGAAAGAAAAGGGTTTCTTGCAGTATAACATGCTTGCTCTAATGAGTTTTGTCATTTCCCATTTTTTGGCAGCTGTTAGCACCAAACCTTACTTTGCTGCTGCCTGCAAGTCACTTCCAGTGTGTTGCCTCCACCTCCTGCAGAATGGTTTCTGTTTTGGTCGTCAGGAACTGTAGTGGCAGGAGAAGGAGTAATGGGTTCAAACCGAAAGAAGGGAGGTTTAGGTTGGATTTACAGAAGAAATTCATTACTATGAGAATGGTGAGGCACTGGAACAGGTTGCCCAGAGAAGCTGTGGAAGTGTTCAAGGTCAGGTTGGATGGGGCTCTGAGCAACCTGGTCTAGTGGAAGGTGTCCTTTCCCATGGCAGGGGGTGTTGGAGCAAAATGATGTTTAGGGTCACTTCCAACCCAAACCATTCTACAATTCTAGTCTCAGGTTTTCCAGAACATGTCCTTTTTCTCTGCTTGGATTTTCTTACTATATGGATTTTGAAAATGCCATGCATTTGTCAGGATTTCTGAATGTGTAAGGACATGGCAAAGTCTGGATATATAATGGATGCAAAATCAGTCCCATATCTGATGCTTGGAGTGTGGTTCCCCGTGGAACAGAGGGGCATTTTGCCAGGTGGCTTTGTGCAGTCCAAGATATGTCATTGTACAGAGGGATATGATTCAAGCACGCAAAGATGCTGCATAATCCTAATACTTGCAACTCTTTTGTCTTAGAGCAATGAAAATTTCCCATCAAATGAGTGAAATGTATTGTCTGGGAGATAAAGCAGTTGGAAAGCCTATTTCAATAAGACCAAGATAGACTGTGATTATTTAAAATTTCACTTCTTTAATTATGCCTAATGAATGGATTTCCCAGGAGGTATGGGAGTGGGAAATCGGTAGGTTTTTCATAACACTTAACATGTTTTCAGAAGGTGTAGGAAGGACCCTTCTTCCAAATCCTGGCTTTCTGTCAATAGGAGTGTTAAATTCAGGGTAATTAACAGCAGTTTAATAGACAGGTCTAAGCACTAGATAGGCCAACACTTCATACTTATCCCTCTTTCTTTCAGATGTGTTCAGCCACAGTTCAAAGCTCTTGCAGTTGGTCTATACACGCTCGTTATGAGAACGTTAGGTAAGAGAAATCATTCTGACTGAGATGTTGGTTCACATGGCTTTAAATGACACCAATGTAACCACCATTTGCAAACCAGATGTGTCCTTGAAACAGCTCTTAGATCCTGGGCTGTTCCTGAATATCCTGTTTCTTCCCGAAGGTCCAATATTCAGTCCAGAGTTCGTTGGTAAACCAGCTAACACAATTAGTGTTAGCTAAATGCAGTTTGGAAGCCTGGTGTTCCAAAATGGGAAGAGTTTTTAAGCGAAATTGAAGTATTAGGTCGCATTTCTAAATAGCACTGTAAGGTTTCAAAGTTCTGTCTCAGTCAATGGCTCACTGAGACACAATGCTGCACGTAAGATCAAAAAGAGTGCTCCAGTAGGACTTAATTCAACACTAATACAACTCTGCTCATATCACAGTGTTTCCTCCATGTTGAATTTTCACTTTCCTGGTAGATGACAGCTTAGATTTCAACTCACTTTAAAACTTCCTGCAAAGCACTTTTTCCTTCTCTTTTATTTGAGGCTAATGAGGTGGTTGATTAAGATACCTAGGCATACAAGAAAACATATTTTTATTTCCTTTAGTTCTCTTTTTCAATGGAATATGAGTGCCTGCATTTCAGAAATGTAGAGAAACTTGTGTGAAGACACAAGCCAGGAGAGTTTGCTATGAAATTAAAAAAATCAACAGCCACTTACAAATGTCTACAATCAGAGCTGGTTATGGCTGTGGTGTCTAGTCAGGATTGTGATGGGACATTCTGAGTTAGGAAGGTGTTTCTGTATTTTGTCCTCTTCTGCTTTTAACATCACAATTTGCAGGTGCAGAATTTCTTCCCCAGCTCCCAGGATAAGCAACACCAATGCAATTCTCAGAGCAATTTCGTACACAGGAAAATTAAAAGAAGCATCATGTAAGAAGAACTGCCCCCTTTCTACAGGCTTCTGCTTCAGCACATTGAGCCAGCCTGCTCCTTCCATTGCAGGCAGGGGGAGGGCCACTGTCACTGATTCAAAAAAGCTGGCATTTCTCTTCAGTGACTCAGAGATCAAATATGATGTGCTCCCATCTTCTTTCACTAAAGAACCTCCAAAATGAGCATTTTTTTCATTGTACCCTGACTACAGCACAGAGGATTGTAACACCCAGGCCTTTAAGACAGATTACTGAGCTCAGACTCTCACAAGAGCCCTGAGAGAACAGGTTGAGACAGCACCTGCTTTTACACAATAAATTATTTCCTATATAAGAATGCTCCTGTAGGAACAAAACTAATGTAACATATGGTACTTTACACGTGGAAACCTGGATACCTCTGAGGTTAATCCTCACCTTTACTTCAGTAAGGCTGGGATTTTGTCCCATATCTGTCATGTTTTGCAGTAAAGCAAAAGCTAATATCTGACCTCACAAGAATTTCAGTTACTTTTCTCTAATTCAAGCAGAAGGAACTATCAGCCAGTGTGTATAATTTAGGATGTGCATAGAAGAGGTAACTGTGCATCAGTTCAGTGCTCCAAAGGCACAACAGCTCTTCCTTGCAGGATCTTAGTCTGCACAGGAAGCCAGTGTTGGGTCTCAGAGCCATGCATGAGAAAACGTGCATGACTGCAAGCCTGGCCAAAAACCATCAGTCCACATTGCACGGGGACTGATTTTCCTCAAGGTACAGAGACAGTGTCCCAGTTTACAGTTATTCTGATAAAGGGAAAGAAAAGCTCCACACAATCCGACCCACCCATTGCAGCGTGTAAGTCACCACTAATAAAAAATATAGAGCTGATTTCTAAAAAGATGTCCTTTCCTGTGAAATCTTGTGATGCTTTTGCTTGTCTCCTCACAGCCGGGGTTCCAGCACCAGTTTACTTCGGCGCAGTGATTGACAAGACGTGCTTGAAATGGGGAAGCACAAGCTGTGGGCAGAGAGGGGCTTGCAGGCTCTATGACTCCATTGCTAACAGGTAAGGCAAATCAGGGCACAAAAACCCTCAAGCATCTCCTCCCTACAGAGAAACATGTTTTGTTCTTTTATGCTCTGGTGTGTGAGACCATGGATCAAAAATTATGGTCAAATACTGACACTGGTCTCAGAGTCTAAGTCAGTCTGGAGTTCCTAAAGTTTAAAAATCTCAAGATCAGATGTTGAGCTCTCAGTTTTTAGTCAGTGTTTATGTTCTGCAAAAGAAATTTAATAGCCATGATGGAGGTGTCTGAATTAATTTTGTATTATTAATACCCTTTGAGCCAATTAAAAACACCTGAGACTTTAGGATTTACCGTCAAGAGGGAAAGGACCCAATTTTACTTTATTTCCAGATAGTTTTCTCATACTGGCAAGAACTTTAACTCTGTGCATTGGCCACATTTGAGAAAAAAAATGATGGAAGAATATTGTGCTGAGTAGCTGTAAGTGTTGGTTAAACCTAAACACTATCAGACTTCAGGAGGAATATTCCACAGATTTTTTTTTCAGTTTCACTCAAGCCTTGGCCATCTCTAAAGTGTTTTTTATTTTTATACACTATAGCTCACTCTGATGACCTCGATATATTTCTACCCTAAAAGGCCTAAAGCCTTAAAGTGATTCAAAAGTCTTCCAAAACAAAGGGAAGATGATGAAAGTTCAGCTTTGCAACCATCTTCATAAGCAAAAAGAATAATATCAATTCTTTAAGAGAAGTTTTTGCAAGCAAAAATGTCCAGTTTGTGGTACCACTCACTAATAATGAGTTTCAACATTTTTCCCTAAGATGTTTTGATGTTGATATTTTGATGTGATCCTTAAAAGCCATGAAATTGATTTATTTTAGTGTCTTTGAAAAGTTCAATGCCTTGCACTGTCTTCTGTGCTCTGTCCCACAGGTATGTCTTCCTTGGTTTAGCAGCGGTGTTAAGAGGTCCTTCCTTCTTGGTTGCAATCATATTTTATATATTGATAAAGAAACACTTTCAAAATAAGAACTCCAAGCCTATAGAGAATGGACAAGAAGATGCTTCTGTGAACAAAGAAGAAAATTGCAAGATCAAGCAATGTTTGCCAGGTTCTCCTGATGGGGAAGATGAATCTTCTATTTAGAAAGAAATTTAGACCAGTGACACACAATCAGGTCAGCTTCTTTTAGAAACAACCTTTGCAATGTTATGAGTAACTAAATAATAAATAATAACACTGTTCAGAAAGTATAAGTAATAGCAAACCTGTGATCAAGAACAATAAAACTAACAAACAAATGTGGAAGTGCCTTATGTGTACCCGGCTACCAGTGACAGACAGAACAAGTTACACAAACTGAACCAAATTCTCAACAGATAAAGAAAAACCTCCCTTGACATTTCTGATAGAACCAGTCAGGTATTTTTAGTGGGATCAAAGAGGACTGCTGCCAAAACATCCGTATGCCAAGGCCCACAAGAGGTGATGCTGATCCTGCATGCAGATCCATGCAGTGGACTGCCACAGGAATGACAAACTCAAGACCAAGAGCAGCTTTCTGATTCCATTGAATTCAATCAGAATTCACAGTAAAACCAAAGCACTTAAGCAAAACATTTCCAGCTCATCTAAAGGAGTCATTGCAATCCTTTCCCATCGCCAGATTGGCAAAAGCAGTATTTTTCCAAGAAGCATTTTGTCTTAGCTCAGCTGAAAATGTTATGCCTACTTAAAACTGCAAATAGGTTGTCGTAAAGGAAATAATTGTTTTTAAAAATCTCAGAGTCGTAGAATTTTATTAAGAACTATTTTTTTTTTTTTACCGAAGTTTCACGAAACTTAAGAAATACTCTGAATTTCGCGGCGCTGTTTTTTTTTTCCAAGGAAAGCACATCCACGCACTAGTTGTTGCATTGCTATGCCAGGCAGTGTCCGGCAGAGGGAACTCAAACGACAGCATTACCCCTGTGATTATTGCGACTATGGATACGTCTGTCGTGTTCAGTCTCGGTTATTCTGGGAGAAATTAATCATCAGGCAGGCAAAACACCCATATGTGGTTCCATACACCTTAAAATTTTCCTCAGCACGAGCCTTTACCTCGTGTATTCAAAGCTGATTTTGTGTATTTGTTGGCTTGCATTCATCATGTCACTTGGAGCTTGACAACCTGTTATTACTTTAAATAAAAAGATGTGTATATGTGTACCATTTCACAACAGGGATTGAATTGGGTGGTTGATACTCTAAAATGGATGCTCAGGGCTCAGTGGGATGTGGTTAATAGACATGCTAGATAAGAAAAAGTACATTGAGGAAAACACTGAATTGTTCTGAAATAAGTGTTGTCTGTCATGACAGTCACTTAGCAGTGATTGCAGCAGCTGAAGGGAGAAGAATGGGACGTTTTTCCAAGGCAGAGATTCTCCGTGTAGCAAAACTAGAGAAGTTCTTTATTCTTCTTTAGCCTGGAGAAAAGGAGGCTCAGGGGAGACTATTAATAGTTTTCTTCAACTACCAAAAAGGAGATTGTAGCAAGGTGGGGATCGGCCTCTTCTCCCAGGCAATAAGTGACAGAACAAGAGGAAATAGCCTCAAGCTGTGCCAGAAGAGATTCAGATTGGACATCAGGAAGAATTTCTTCATGGAAAGAGTGGTCAGGCACTGAAATGGGCTCCCAAGGGAGGTGGTGGAATCACCATCCCTGGATGTATTCAAGAAACAACTGGACATGGCACTTAGTGCTCTGGTTTAGTTGACAAGGTGGTGATTGGTCAAAGGTTGGACTTGATGATCTTGGAGGTCTTTTCCAACCTAAATGATTCTGTGATTCTATAATTCTAAAGCTGATCTGGTCTTGTCCTACAATTGTGTTTGCTTTGACATATTCAGATACAGCCATAGGAAAGACCTGTGGGACATAAAGAAATGAACAACCTTATCTAACTGCTGAACTTGAGAGTGAGTTTGGCAGGGAAAGCAATTGCAACTCTGTAGTTCTGGTTCTATTCCAGATGCTTTGTTCAGAGTACATTTTATTAACACATCTTGCTGCATATGTAATTTCCTATGGGGAAGGACAGACAGGGGTTTGAATGAGATATTTGTAATCCAAAATCTGTAACCTTCAAAAACATGTTTTATATGACAAAATATACCAGTTTTAACTGAAAACAAGAGCTAATTCCAGACAACAGACTAAGAGAATTATGCATAAGGACTCAACAATGTCAGAAAAAAGGTGTTATGTCCTGTAGCAGATTTAGGAAGTTGTTACTCCAGGCTAATGAGATTAATATACTGGCCTCTTTGGCTTATCAAGGGGATTTTCCCCTTTCTTGTGGAAAACCAGCAAGAAATAATGATGACTGGTGCGACACATGTTCAGGAGAGATTCAAAATAAACTAGAGAGAGAATTTTGAATGCCTTTACAGTCCTGGGAGGAAATCTTAGATACTTTTTTCATTATTGTTTTTGAGAAGAGAACAATTACTCAGTGGAAAGATGTGCCTGAATGTGTTTCAGCAACAATCCGTCACTGCAGCCACAATTTTTACACATTGAGTAAGTAAAGTTAAAAATCTACGTCTACTGTTTTATCCACCTGCTCGAAATATATCCCTTTGCTTAACTCTTTGGAAAAGCAGGACATGTTTATTCAGGTCCCTTCATTAATACATTAGAGTTTTTAATATTAGGAGCAATGCCTCTAAGCCCTGAGAGCCAGTTTCCAACTCAGAAAGCTGGAAGTTGTTGTAGCAACTGTGTGTGTGTGTGTTGGTTTTCTTTATGTGCTTTTCGTGTTTGTGTTTGGGTTTTTTTTTTTTCATGGATAAGTGAGGGTTCTTGGCAAACAGTGTCAGAAAAAAGGTTTAATTTTTCACACTTAAAATACCTCAGCCTGGCTCCTTTTCATTGCTGGTTTTGGCCCAGGCCAGGTGAGAGCCCTGCAGAGAAGCCTCAGCAGCAGCACAGGAAACTGTGGAACAGACACCCAGAATGGGAGTTTACCATCATCAGGAGTTTCTTGCAAACATTAAATTCTTTCATATAATAGCATGAAAAGGATGGGAAACTGGGTGGGTTTGAAATGCTCTTTCAGACTAGAATGGATGCAAACAAGCTAAAAGTAAAGCTGGAATCATCTGCATGATGAGCTCTGGGAGAGCAGGAATGAATCAAAACTTCGACAAGAATTTTAAGAAATTATCTTTCCCCCCCAAAAGAAACACAGAGAAGGTGACATGCTATGAACTGCAAAATAAATGTACTATGTTCAGGGCTTGCACCATAGGTGAGAGAAAAAGCATGCAAAGAGAAGATAAGCCTTTACTCCTTTGCTACTTTCTGTGCCTAAGGCAGGTCAGGGAATTATTTTTGTCTTTTCTATTAGTGCACAGAAAAATAACTTTATTGAATCTTTCCCACTTAGTAAAAAGTACTTGATGTCCAAAATCAGTACAGGAATACTTCTGGAGCTAAGTATGCTTTGCTTAAGGTGTTGGTTTTTTTTTCTTCTTTCTTTTTTTTTTTATCTCCACTTCAAGGTAAAGCTGAAAAACATTAAAAAAATGTGTTTTTCTAAGTCTGCGTAGTACCATGAGCTTTATCTGAGTCAATGCAAAGCTCATTCAGTTTTTATGCAATGTATGCTACCCCATGAATGTTACTGAAGTTTTATTCTGGAGCAGGACTACAGGCAATAAAATGTGTCACAGACATATGACACAGAGACAAAAAAAATCTCAGACAGGTCATCCACTAGTGCAAATCCATCAACTGTGAATAACTTGACTTACCTGTTCAAGCTCATTAGTGTTCATCTGAATCAATGTTAAAGATTAGCTCTTCTTTCTTAACTTAAGAATTTATAAAATTAATTTCTTGGTAAAGTGGCCATCTGTCACTCATTGTATTCAATGAAGCATAACAACAGACCTGATTTCACTTTTGAACATACATGTTTCCCTTCTAATAAAATTCTTATAATTTAAAAAATACCATTAATTTAGTGTATCAGTGTGAAATATGAAACATCTAGGACACCCTAGAGTTCTATGCAAGCCCACCCTGAGTGCCCTGTCAGATTAGGGTTACAAACCTGAACAGGGGTGGACCACCATGTTCAACTTACTTCAAGGGTAAATGTCTTGTCTGCAGTCAGATCTCTCTAGTCTTTCAAAAAGTAAATGACAAAATTTTTAGTTGCATTCATCTAAAATCTTTGTTATCAATCATTTTAAAAGATACCTGCAGTAATAGCACTAGTTAGTTGTTTTAGTGCTCCTTCTCATGCCTGCTTTCTGGAATTCCTTACTTAGACGCATATTAAGTACCTGCAAGTATTTACTTGCAAAAGCTTCTTAGTTTCCAATTATTCATACTATTCTTCTTTTTTTTCTTTCCTCTTGAAAACAGATTTTGAAGGAGAATTCAATAGCTGACTCATTTCTGAATCATCATTAATTTCAGCCCACTAGTCTTTTTTTAATCCTCATTTTAATACACGGGATTTAAAGCTGTTTCTTGTTTTCATTGACTTCAGGAATGCATTGGGTTGGCTAAAAAGAAGCATTGTGGAGGGTAAGAAATGCTTTTGCCATCCAGGTCTCATAAATGCTCTTATTCCAGTCCTGTTTGACAAATCCACCAGGGATATAAGGAATTCAACAGCTAGTCCTTAAGGTCATCCAAGCATTAGCAGGTCTGGAAGTCCTGCCACTGGGTGAGTTGTCATTATCTCTATATCCGTGATGCTACTGGAGAAGGGATGGACTTTGCAGTCAATTTGAACTTGGAATAGATGTCAATATTGGCATTCACTGGAAAGCAGTAGCAGACAATGTATTAAACAAGTATGCTCCTGCTGATCCTATAAAGCTCTGAGAGGGCTGAAGGTTCGAATGAATGAAAAATTGCAGAACAAAGTTACCTTAGCAGCAGGTACTTAAGGAAAAATGTGTCAAATCAATGTACTACCTAAATGATTTTATCTCCTAAACCACCTGAATTGGTGAAAAGTTATCAGAATACAGAGCAGAGAGTACACATGGGAAGTCTTTGCAAGACTTGTTATATTGAAAGTTGAATTAAGAGGGAAAAGAAAAAAGAAAAAAGACACAGAAATACAAGGAACAGGATTGATTACAGTAACCAGGCCAAATTGGTCCAACATCTGGTATCAACAACAAAAATCTGCAAATAATCCAGCCCAGCTGATCCAAAAAGGGGGACCTCTGGCTTGGGACCGCATGCAGGGCTAGGGTTGTTTGTGTTGGTGCTGGAGTGAGTCCCTGCACTGTACAACTTGAAATCGAAAGAGAAAATCCTGTTAAGGAATTACTCCCCTTCTTGCAATCACCTCTTTCCAAGTTGCTGTAACTTACCCTCTACAGTGAGAGCTCAAGGCCCAGCATTAACTATTTTTGTTCCTTTCTGGCACCTCAGATTTTCTCTCAGATGAAGTCTCCTGGAATCCACAGAAATAAATGGAAGTCATGGTATTTCCACCACACTTTCCATTAGTATCTGCAGGTTTTAGGTCGGTCTCCATCAACATTATGGAGGCAGAGGAGAACAGAGGAAAACTGAGCTGGAAGTAACATTATATTACACATGAACAACTGAATTATCTGACATGAGAAGAAGTGTTCCTCACCTTCCAAAATTTTGCTAGAGGATCTGTTATCCTCACACATGAACTCAAGGGAGTAATTTTTTTGTCACACTAAAGTAGAACAGACTATCTTGGAGCTTAGGATATCTGCATTCACTTCCTTACTCTGTTACAGTCTTATTTCTTTGGTCAAGAAATACAAGATTGGGAATCCTAAGAAAAATAGCGTTTTCACAAGCACTTACAAACCAAGTTTACAAGCCAAACTTCTAAGTCAAAATTTTGTCTCTCACTTTACAATTGCACATCAACAGGTGCAAGGTCCAAAAAATTTAAATCATGTTCAATAATGAAACAGGACCATGAAAGAGCTTTGAAAACTTCCATTTGAATTAGCTGGATGACAGTAAACACACAAGAAAGGAAGAGATTCAGGAGATAATTCATGTTTTAGAGATACAGCTTCAAAAAACAGGATGTTATGTTCTTTACTAACAGTGAAGTTTTTCCTTCATTCTCGACAAGCTTTCCATGTCTGGAAAATGAAATCATTGTTTATGAGCACTTTGGAAACATTATTTTATCTGAAGTTATCGTGC